CAGAATAATGCTGTTCTGATATTATGCATGGTCGTCAAAGAAGAAGCCATCAACTTCACCATTCTGGCAAAGATCATTAAAGTCCTGATCCAGGGGTTTAATAACCTTTTCTTCAGTTACAAGTCTCTTGCCTTCTTCAGTGATCAAGCCAGCATCCATAAAGAGAGCTGTGGCAACGTGTCAGGCTGCCAGGCAAGGCTTCCCCCTCTCTGTAGACAACAGCACAAAGCAAAAGCAGTCTTTTGGCAGCAACAGAGAGGTTTATTAAACACAGCACAAACATTCAACGTCCATTCTCATCGTGCAGGTGCTCCCAACTGAGTTCCTCCTACTTCCCTCTGGTTACTTCCGTCTTCCCATCTCCTCACCACATGATCCCTCCACCACTGAGCCTTCTGAGAGGCTGCCCTATCCAGACGCCTGGCTCTAGGGCTCATGGGCTGCACACTTTCTAGTGAGGGACATTCAACCAGCTTCCCATTCCTCTTCCCATTCCTCTCCCCCTTGGTTGCTCTTCTCCCAGCTCAGCCCAACTGTCAGTTCCCGAACTGTGTCCTTCTGCGAACCGTTGCTTTAGGTCAATGCTATCCTTCTGCTCCAGAGGAGCTTCAGGATCAGGCTCTTGTGCGAGGGGGGGGGGGCTCCCACCATTCTTCCTCAGAGCAATACCCTTCAGTCTGATTCCTGACATAGCAGCTATAGCACACAGGCCAATACCACATCTGGTGCTCTGCACAGCAACATTATGTATTTCTATTGTGGTTGTCTTTTTCTTAGAAGTGGAATGCATTCTTGGTTTCCTAATGTCAGTTCATAATTCCATCATTTCCATCTTGGGCATCAGCTATTTGTTCCTTATTTTCATCAGCACATAAAATTATTTCATTTGATGGCATTGAAGCACCCTGCTTACTTCCTTCTCTGCTTACATTCAGAAAGCTGCCTTCTCTTGTCTTCTTGATGCTTCTGCCTTTTTACTTTTCTGTTACACTCAGGCAGGTCTGGCAAGCTAATCTGATGTGGTCCAACAGAAGTAGTCTTCTCTCTCTGGCCTTCAGTGAAAGCAAGTTCCTCGTGTGTGTGTGTGTGTGTGTGTGTGTGTGTTTGCAATATGCAATTTAATATAAAATACGTATAATATATAAATATAAAAATAGTATTAGTATATAATATAACTGCAAGTACAGTGGTACCTTGGGTTACAGACGCTTCAGGTACAGACTCCGTTAACCCAGAAATAGTACCTCGGGTTAAGAACTTTGCTTCAGGATGAGAACAGAAATTGTGCTGCGGCAGCAGCAGGAGGCCCCATTAGCTAAAGTGGTGCTTCAGGTTAAGAACAGTTTCAGGTTAAGAAAGGACCTCCGGAGCAAATTAAGTTATTAACCTGAGGTACCACTGTACTTGGCAATCATTTCTAATGATTTTAATTTGACTTTAATTTGTTATCTACTTCCGATAACAGGTCTTTATATGTCGCCCAATCACTTCCCATATTTTTCTTTTTTACTGCGAAGGCTTCTGGAATCAGCACAATGAACTGTTTCAAAAGGACCGCAGTAAATTTATATTATATATGAAAGTACATTGTAAACATCTGAAAACATTTGTAGGTTTGAGTTGAAATGTTTTGTAATGAGAATATAAGGAACTGATTTACATTTAATGTGGAGAAATACAAAAATAAGAGAGAAGGTAAAAAAAGTGGTTATAGAAATGCTAAGAATAAAGTAATGGTGTATGGAAGTCAGAAAAAGAGGCGGGGGGGTCGATGCTCTGTTAGAGCAATGCTTGGATTTATTGAATTAAGTAATGAAACTGTGATTATGATAAAATTGAAAATGCAATAAAAATATTTTTAAAAAAATAAAAAGTCAGGTTTTTTATGTAGTTATTTACCAACCAAAACTAAATTATATTAATTGAACAAAAATACTTTGAATTCCCAAGTCAAGTTATAACTTTTTTGCACATCTCATTTTTGGAATTTGATAGTTGAAAAAATCAACATGCCCTAATGGCTGAAAAACTATGCCCCCCCCCCCCAATCCAGAAAACATGTTTTTAAAAGTGGAAATCATACGCCTAGGGTATTTCAAGATGGAGTCTCTTTAATAATAACAGCAAAGGAAAGGAGAACTTGTGGCAGCCCTGGGCAGAAAGGAACCAGGTATCTTTTGCAATATTAATCTTTCATTTAATTTTTACAAGAGATGCATAATAGATAAGATGAAATATTTTATTAGACCAACTTCTGAAGTGCTAAAAGCTTTAAAGGTGAAGAGAGAGGCATAGGTGTCTGCAGGAATTTATTTTTCCACTGAGGGGGCCAGTAAAGTAAAGAATTTATGGTGGGGGGAGAGAGAGAGAGAGGGGGGGGGAGAGAGAGAATAGTGCCAGTGCACATTGCCTCATTTCTCAGATTCTACAAATTCTAGAAATGTACTCTCTTTGTTAGATCAAAGCAGGGTTCCTTGCTGGATGCCTGTGGAGAGATCCAGGATTCACATCCTTCATCTAGTTATGAGTGCAGCTATACTACACTGCTGGAACGCGAGTGGCGCTGTGGTCTAAACCACTGAGCCTAGGACGCAAGTAGGAGTTGGGATGAGGCTGCTCTGAAAGGCAGTGTGAAGCCTCCCTTCCCAGCTGAGGAATCCCCGCCCCCTCCTGCTTGCACACAAGTAGGAATGGGACTGGAGCTGCTCCGATGGGAAGGGAGGCATTGCGCTGCCCGAGCCACCCTCTCGGCCCTCCTTCTCCACCTTCCATGCCTGACCTACTGCGTACCACTTCCCCACCACCACCACTGAAGAACCAACAACTCAGTGGCTGCCCAGGCTCCACCACCACCACTGAAGAACCAACAACTCAGTGGCTGCCCAGGCTCATGGAGAAAGGAGATAGAAGCCTCGGAGGAAGGGAAAATGTGGCAGTTGAGGTCAAGGCAGTAGCCGCCCTTTTGCCACCGCCATTGCTGCAGCATCAACGTCCCGAACATGTAGTATTTATTTATATACTTAATTAAAGTGTCCCCAGATTCATTTTAAAAAATCTGGTAACCTTAACTTAGTCTTGCTGGCCACATGACCCAGAAAAACTGTCTGTGGATAAATGTTGGCTCCCTCAGCCAGTAAAGCAAGATGAGCACCGCAACCCCAGAGTCGTTCACGACTGGACTTAACTGTCAGGGATCCTTTACCTTTTTTTATACTACACTGACACCACACGTTCTACAGGCCCAGAATTCTCTAAAGGCACCAGTATGTTCACAATTTCTCTCTCTCTATATATATATATATATAGTTTTAAAAGATTGCAAAAATGCTCTGGGCTTTGGAAGGAAGGTGTGGTGGGGATTCCAGAGCTGCACTGATCCTCTTGAATGCTCTTGCTCACCCCAGGAGAGAAAAATGCATGCTTACAGAGCAGCAAAAAAGCTATGAATGTTACCATCAATTTTATTTATGTGTCTTTTCATAGGTGTTGAAAAATATTACACAATACAAAAAGCCATAAACAGTCTACAACATGTCAACAGTTAAAATTCAGACTAAGACATCAAAATATTAAATGACAATCCATGGGAACATTTCAAAGCCACATGAGGCAACTTCCTTACCTGAGGTGCAGTGTTGAAACTGTCTCTACTCCTATTAAAATATCACCTCTCTCTTTGTCTTCTGGGGCTTGGAAGAATTACTTCACACACACACACACACACACACACGCTCTGCTATTTTCCTGACTCCAGAAGAATTCCCTGCCTTGCAACAGAGGCACCCTCACCTGAGAGCACAGTCCCAACCCTGATGGAGAGGGCTGGGGAAGCAGAGAGGGTTGCAAGGAGTTCCCTTTCTGACAGTCTCTGTTAGCAGAGCAGAAGTGATGGGGGAGACTGTTGGGGGAGAGGTCCCTGCTTTGCTCTGGTGGAAAGCCCCAATGGCTTTGTGGATCCCCCAATGAATAGAATAGCATTAGGGGTTTTTTTTTAGTTTTTTGCTGCTGCATCACACTGTTGACTCATGTTAAGCTTGTGGTCCACCAAGACCCCTAGATCCTTTTCACATGTACTGCTAGTAAGCCAGGTGTCCCCCACCCTATATTTGTGCATCTGGTTCTTCCTGCCTAAGTGCAGAACCTTACATTTGTCCTTACTGAAATTCATTCTGTTAGTTTGGGCCCAGTTCTCCAAACTGTTAAGGCCATTTTGAATTCTGATTCTGTCTTCTATGGAAATAGCTACCCCTCACAGTTTGGTGTCATCTGCACATTTGATGAGCATCCCCTCAATTCCTTCATCCAAATCATTTATAAAGATGTTAAACAACAATGGGCCCAGGACAAAGAGAACCCTGTCACTTGTCACTTTTTTCCAGGATGATGAGGAACCATTAATGAACACGCTTTGGGTTCTGTCAGTCAACGAGTTACAATTCCACCTACCAGTTACCCTGTTCAACCCACATTTTACTATTTTGACAAAGTCCCCCAAGCCAGAATATCATGGCCTCCACCTCTCCATCTTCAACTGCACCTATTTAGAAGAGCTTTTTCGCATTCTGCACAGTGTTATGCAACTTATCTAAAAATCTGCCAAATATAGAAGAGTGCTTCTGAGCATAGACAGAGTTCCTTTCTCCTGGCCAATTAAAGAGCAAGGCTCCGGGTGTTTTGATAACCCCCCGCCCTCCTCCTGCTTTTTTTTTCTGGGAATTGCAGCGGAGCCCCCTACCGTACCTCCCTCGACACAGTTTTGGAACAATCCCGCACGTTATTCTTTTTCGGAAACTTTCACAGCTCTTGCTTATGAGACCAGGCATGTGCGTGTGGCACAGCTGGATTCAACAGGCTGGAGAGGTTTTTGTTTTTTTTAAAGTTGAGTATAGAAACCAAAAACACCCCAAGCGCACCTTTTCTACCCTCTGGAAACGCCGCCCCCCCGCTCCGGCTCCTCCGCCGCGCGCCCGCCTTGGCCGATGCGCCGCCTCCCTGCGCGTCGGTGCTGTCGAGGCTCCCGCAGGAGCCGCAGGCAGAGCCGCCCGAGACGGAGCTGGCAGCCGACGTTCCACGGAAAGGATGGCCGAGAGGCTGGAGAAGGTGCCCATCGCACTGGCCGAGCCGGAGGACGGGGAGCCCGCCCCGATGCCCCCTGTGAGTACGGCCCGCAGCACCCCGAGCTGCCCCCCCGCTCCCCTTTTCCCAGCCACTTTTCTGCCCCCCTTTGCTGGCGGAAACTTTTTTGTTTTGCAAAAAAGTCCTACTTCTACCTTACAGATGGAGCTCTGTCTAACGATTTCGGAGGGATCTGGGGGATTTGCTGCGGACTCACAAATAATGCAGGGGACGGGGGACGGGACGAGACTTTCTTTCCCAGAAAGAGAAAGCCAACTGTTCTCTCCCTCCCCTCGCAAAGGAGCTGGGGATCTTTCCTCAGAAGACTCACACAATGGCAAAAACAGACAGGGGGTCCCTTCTTCTGCTTCTTGGGAAAAAGGGAAGGAGGATCGCTCACTCAGGAACCCTATTCACTTCTTCTTCCTCTTTCTACGTCCCCCCCCCCTCCATTTTGGCACTCCATTCCAGGCACCCCCCTCACGCGTGTGGCTTGAGACATCTTGGAGAGAGGCGCGTGATGTGTGTGCTCTGCAGTTCTTGTGCAAAGTGCCTCGGCTAAGGTACTTTTGGCCTGCCTCCCACCCCCAGCATGTGCAGAGCGCCTCAAAGTGAGCATATGCAGAGGGCAGGTTCCCACTCCCCCCCCCCAAAAAAAAAGACTAATGCAAATCAGAAAAAATACCTGACTCACACATCTTTTTATGGCTTTGCAGTTGGCTGATTTGGCAACTGGCCAGGCGGAAGAAAGTCTGGCTTTAGTTGGAACCTCTCTGACACAGCTAGGACCTCTGCTCCAAATACTATAGCAAGCTAGTTAACTTGGGTCTGTGCCCAGAGGCCCACCAGCATCAAAATACAAGATCCAGACAGAAGGGTGATTCACTAATTCACAGCATTCCCAGGACCCACACGCACACCTCCCAAATGATGGTGTTGCACCTACATTCCACCCTGTGGAATTCAGATCTCTCCCCCTACCCCCATGGCCCCATGGCCCTTCAGCTGGATGTCAGGATCAAAGCACAGGGGTGTGGGGAACCAGCAGCCACTAGCAGAAAAGAAAAGAACACATTGGAAAAGCTGATTTGGGTCAAGGTGCTGGAAAACCTGGAACAGGGTCTGATCTAGCAAGGGATCTATTCAGAACTTAGTTTTCTTGATCATTGTGAATCATTTCTCTATTTATTATTTTTATACTATCCCTTATCCAGAAGCATCTCAGAGCAGCACACAAAAACACATTTAGAAAACCCATGCAATCAAGCAGTTCAGCAAAGGACTAAAAGGAGCCAAATCTAACCTAAGTCCTCCATGAAATGCCCACATGAAAAAGATGGATCTTTAATTGCTTTCCAGAGGCCTCATTGTGCAAAGTGTCACTGTGCAAAGTGCATCAGGGCATTGGCAAAACCTTGAACTAAGACCCATAGTGAGTAGGCAGCCAGTACAACTCTGGAAGGATAGATGTTCCCACAGCAGTGGGGTGAAGCTCCACTCCATGGTCTGCCAATGACCCCCTGCTTTACATGCTGCTTCTTCACCCAGTGTTGCAGCCAGAGCCATCTTCCGTGGCAGTCCCACAAGAGAGCATCACAGAAGTCCAAGCTGACATGTTACAAACAATCTGTGCCAGGTGCCTGTGGCATTCAGGTAGCCAACATTCCACAGAACTCAACAGCCAGGAAAGGTCTGTGCCAGGGAAGGAGCCCATTCCCCTGCATACCTGAGCATAGACATATACGGTAGCTCTTTAGCCAGTAGCTCTTTAGGAAGGAAACAGGCTACCAGGAAAAATGGCTGCCAGGGTCAGGATTTGGTACTTCCTCAAATATTGTAACAGAAGGTGCTGCTTGTCTCTCTCCCCGCCCCCCACACTCTCCCCCCAGCACACAGTTGCCCCTTTGTGAAGCTGCTACTTCCAGATTAATATGCTCAAGATTGTACTGCACAACAGATTGCCTAGAAAGAATGGAGGGTCTGGCCCAAGGCCATGTCATAAATTCACAGCTGAGGTGGGATTTGAATCAGATATTTTAGGCATGAAATACATGGTACTTGAATGTCAGCCCATCGTGGCAAACGCCAGAACACGCCAGTGCCTCTTTTCCCTTGGCATACAGTGGTACCTCGGGTAATTTGTTCTGGAGGTCCGTTCTTAACCTGAAACTGTTCTTAACCTGAGGTACCACTTTAGCTAATGGTAAAGTGGTAACGGCCGCTACGCCACCGTGTGATTTCTGTCTCATCCTGAAGCAAAGTTCTTAACCCAAGGTACTATTGCTGGGTTAGCAGAGTCTGCAACCTGAAGCGTCTGTAACCTGAAGCATCTGTAGCCCGAGGTACCACTGTATTGACTTGTCATCTCTACTTGGAAGCAGAAAGGCCAGTGCACACGAGAAGTTGCCATCCTGGCAAGTGTTTGGGGTTTACTCTGGGGGGGGGTGCACAAGTATCTCATTTCTTATATTAAGATGTTTGGAAGTGGAGCATTTCCCTTACAGGAGGGCTGGTAGGTGGAAATCTGGACAATAGGTAGGTTTGCACCTGCCTGTCTCCCCATTAATGTAGGGGTGTCCACATGATGTCCTCCACATCCCAATGTTGTCTTGGACTTTCCCCCTCTAAATGAGGAGTTTTTCAACCTTAGGAAGTCTGAAATGGCCAGAATTGAACCCAAACCCCTCCCCCACTAATGGACAGGCAGGCAGGCAGGCACAAATCCACATTTTGCTCCAGCGTGGACAAGCCTTTGATCTCTCCCTATCCTCCTGGATGTGAGCCTCTGCCCTCTTTCTTTTCTCTCAGTCTTGTGTAGACATGCATGTGCACACCCCAAATTCAAAATACCCCCTTCCTTGACTGCTTGCTCCTTTTGTTGTAATTTTTAAGAGGGTTGAATGGAATTGTTCCTCACTCAGTTTCTGAGCAAAGACTTTGTGTGCCCCGTGTGAACCTCTGTGGCTTCACTGCAGATCAGGCGCTCGTCCTCCAAATGGCCTCTGCCTCTCTGATTCAAGTCACTTTGCTTCCCACCCTGCTGCAGGCATACTCAGCTGTGATGGCAAAACCCTCCAGTACAAGGCGGCTGCTCAGGATTGGAGCCATGGTGCTTATTGGCGGAACCATCCTCCTACTCTTTGGGGCCATGGGAGCCTTTTACTATTGGAAGGTGACTGACAAAGAGGTGAGAAGTGAGGGATTTGTTTGGATTTTGTTTGGATCAGATACATTGGGCTCAGGGCTACATCTGACTGGGCCATGAATGAAAGTTAACCATATTCACCAACAGTTTCTGAAGCTACCAGCAGACCCCTAAGCTGCTCTCCTCACAGTGCCCCAAACCATTCCCGGAAATAAGGACTGTGTGCAGGAGACCCCTGGTATTTTAAACAAGGCCAGGTCTTGGACTGTACTCTGTGTGTTTCCAGGAGCCATTTCAGGGGCCAGGATCCATAAAGCTGAGCTACAAAATGTGATGCTGGTACCTTTTGATGTGTGAAGAAAATGCAAAACAAGCAGCAGTTGTGGAACCAGACCCTGCACTGGAAATTGTCTGTTATCCTTCATTCTTCAAGTGAATAAACTTGTTGATAATCAGGGGGTAGCAGGGGTGCCAACTTGAATGAAAAAATATTGTGGGGGCCCATGTAAGCCCTGCAGAATCAGTCACATGACACAGTGCATGCACATGACACAGTCACATGACACAGTGCATGCACAGTGCATTTGAATGGAATGCTCATAAACTTTGGGGGACTCAGCCCCCTCAAATATTTTATTGTGGGGGCCAAAGCCCCCAGGGCTGCTATGGAGGGTAGGCCGAATGGAACACTTGGGTCTATTGTCACCATCTGATAGCTGTGGCAAATGTGTTGCACTGGGTGGCTTCTTTAGTGTGTCTTCTAGGGAGCCTTATTTAAAGGCAAAGGACTCCTGACAGTTCAGTCCAGTTGCAGACGACTCTGGGGTTGCGGTGCTCATCTCGCTTTACAGGCCAAGGGAGCCAGCATTTGTTCGCAGACAGTTTTCTGGGTCATGTGGCGCAACAAAACACCGAAACCAATGCAGCACATGAAAAAGCCGTTTACCTTCCCGCCAGAGTGGTACCTATTTATCTACTTGCACTTTGATGTGCTTTCGTACTTCTAGGTTGGCAGAAGCTTGGATGGAGCAGCAGTAGCTCACCCCGTCGTGGGGATTCGAACCACCAACCTTCTGATCAGCAAGCCCAAGAGGCTCAGTAGTTTAGACTACAGCACCACCCGCATCCCTTGAGCCTTATTTAGTGTGCCTCTAATTCACAACAGAATTCAACAAGAGTTTCTGTGGCATATAAGGCAGATCTTGTGCTTTAATTATTAGTCTACAGCAATGTGTTGTGGACGAAGCTGCAGTTTTAAAACTCCAGATCCAAATGTTTCCGTTTTGAACACAGAGACGTCCTTTATTCGGTCAGGTTTCATTTACAATTCAGCCAGCAAAGTTTCAATAAGAAACACAAACTGCCTTAGCATTTCTTCTTGAGAGTTTGCCAAGATCTTCAGATATTTTATTTCCTCTCATTCTGGCATGGAGATTTCTTCTCTGCTGCTCTTTTACAGCCATAGCAGGATAGAAGGTGCTACTAGGAATAAAATAAATAATATATCTGCATGCAGCAGATACAATCCAAGCACAATTGCTCACAATTCCTCACAGGGTCCCCTTTCTGCATTCTAGGCCTGGCTTTCCACATGAAAGTAAGTAGGATCTCTAGAAATGTTTGGATTGTTGACTCTAATTTTGTATATTTTGGTTAAAAGAAAAATACTAGGTATAATAGAATTTCTTGGATGCCTTGATCCAAGTTTGGGAAAAATACTTTTTGGTAAGTGAGCCCCAGCAGAGATTTAAAATAGGAAAATATGCAGCCAAGTAAAGTGTGGAAATGTTGTTGTTGCTGTTTAGTCGTTTAGTCGTGTCCGACTCTTTGTGACCCCATGGACCAGAGCACGCCAGGCACTTCTGTCTTCCACTGCCTCCCGCAGTTTGGTCAAACTCATGCTGGTAGCTTCAAGAACACTATCCAACCATCTCATCCTCTGTCGTCCCCTTCTCCTTGTGCCCTCCATCTTTCCCAACATCAGGGTCTTTTCCATGCAGTCTTCTCTTCTCATGAGGTGGCCAAAGTATTGGAGCCTCAGCTTCAGGATCTGTCCTTCCATTGAGCATTCAGGGCAGATTTCCTTAAGAATGGAGAGGTTTGATCTTCTTGCAGTCCATGGGACTCTCCTCCAGCACCATATTTCAAAAGCATCAATTCTTCGGCGATCAGCCTTCTTTATGGTCCATATGTGGAAATATGGGCTGTTAAAACTTTAAAACGTCCCCTTCTAAGTTGCCCACCTCCCATGTTCCCCACTTCCCTTAGCAAACGAAGAGACCATACATTTGGTAAGTTAAAATGGTTTACTTACAGCTCTTCAGAGGTCCATGCAGCATCAAGAAAATACAGGAACTTTAGCTTAAGTTCCAAAGTTGTGAATTTCTAAATATGTATAGAAACACAAAGAAGGCTTGCTTAAGACACACAGCCTAAGCTTGGAGCATCCAGCTTTGACCTCCTTACTGGTAGGTTTCACATGATGGGAGAAAGAGAGCAAAGTGTTTGGTAGTCCTTCTTCCCAAGGTGAGGGGGAATGACCTGGCTAAGCCTGGAAGGACAGCTTACTCTATGGTCTTAACCCCTTCATGCAAGAATAGAGCTAAACATGTTGGTTGTATGAGGCTGATTTATCCCACGTGGATAACTGGATGAAATGGCAAAAGAAACATTTTTGAAATCTAGCACCCAGCAGCTTGTCACTCACAGGTGCCAATTTTTTTATTTCATTGAATTTATATCCCATCCTTCCTCCCAAAAGAGCCCAGGCAGCGGGGGGCCACTAGGGGGCGCATTGGAAGATGGCCGACAATACCATCTCTCCGACCCACACGGGGTAACTAAGAGGCTGTTATGGGAGTAGGCAGCCTCCCTTGTTGCCCCAAGGAAATGGGGAACACTGCCCTTGCCTGCTGTGCCCATAAATCACCTCCTAATTCAAAAGAAGGGGGTGAGGGCCCTAGGCAGAATGCCCCCGTGTGGACCTCGGCTCTCCTGGACGCTGTCTCTGATCGCGCACTAGCTGCAGCAATTTGGAATAATTAATTACAAAAGAAGCAAATGCACATATTTCAAGTGAAGAAGGGAGTGAAGTCTGCTAATTTAAGTGACCTCTGCGAAAGAAGACGACGGGTTGGAGAAACAGGAATATTTTACGATGAAGATACACCAAAGGCTGGGTATGTTGACAACGGGACTGAATGGGGGGGGGGACCTTTTTTACTTTCCTTCTATGTGATTTACAAGAACCCCTCCTCATTAGAATCGTCGGTTGAACTGACCCAAGCAGGATGATTAAGGTCTGTGTGGAGATAAACTTTAACCAAAAGTATGCTTTATGGAGATCGAGAAGCAATAAGAGCTTTTGGGAATGGCGCAGCAATAAATTCGGAGTCGCCATCTTGCCAAAGGATTTATAGCCGGGAGGAAGAACGGACTTGTTTTTAGACTGCATTCCTAGTGAATCTCCTCGGAGTTTTGAGAAAGGAGGCAGATTGGTGAAGATTAATGACGCTAAGACTGTTTTGATGTATGGAAGTGATGTTATATGGAAAACGTCTGGATATGGCTACTGGATAAAAATAATAATATCCACGCAGGATTACAAACTGTTCTAACCAGCTTGCGGAGACTATCAGAGGTCACAAAGAGAAAGGAAAAATATATGAAAATAACAACAAGAGATGTGGAAAAACAATAAGAAAGGACTGGATAGTACTGTGAACATCATAAGGTTAGATTTGTGGACATTAAAACAGCAGTAAGAAGCAAGAAGTTGATTGGATCCCCTTCGGAACTTGAAATATGGGTACCTCCAACAAAAATTTAAAATCCGGCTGTGTAATTTGGAATTTATGTAATTTGGTTTGATTTGATGTGATTGGTCAGTTAATAAAAAAATATTCTTAAAAAAAAAAAAGAGCCCAGGCAGCAATCCCATCCACACATATATCCTGACATTTAAATACTTTGTGCCATGTTCATAATGGCAAACTTTGCTATTTAGATGTGCTGTTTTAACCCTTTCTTATCAGTTAATGTTTTAAAAGCACTAAAACTGAAACAGAGTCCCAGAAGGAGTTCTTTTAAACAACATTTCCCCTCAAACTTGGCCCGTGGGTTGGGGGGTTATTCTTCTGGCTGTAGAGGTTAGATTAATAATAGTGGTAGTAGTAGTAGTAGTAGTAGTAGTAGTAGAAGTAGTTTATTACTTATACACCGCCCATTCAACCGGGCCTCCCCAGCCACTCTGGGCGGCTTCCAACAGAATATTAAAAACACAATAAAACATCAAACATTAAAAACTTCCCTAAACAGGGCTGCCTTCAGATGTCTTCTAAAAGTCAGATAGTTGTTTATTTCCTTGACATATGATGGGTGGGCGTTCCACAGGGCAGGTGCCACTACCAAGAAGGCCCTCTGCCTGGTTCCCTCTAACCTCACTTTTTGCAGTGAGGGGACCGCCAGAAGGCCCTCGGCACTGGACCTCAGTGTCTGGGTTGAACGATGGGGGTGGAGACGCTCCTTCAGGTATACTGGGCCGAGGCCGTTTAGGGCTTTAAAGGTCAGCACCAACACTTTGAATTGTGCTCGGAAATGTACTGGGAGCCAATGCAGGTCTTTCAGGACGGGTGTTATGTGGTCTCTGCGACTGCTCCCAGTCACCAGTCTAGCTACCGCATTCTGGATTAGTTGTAGTTTCTGGGTCACCTTCAAAAGTAGCCTCACATAGAGCATATTGCAGTAGTCCAAGCGGGAGATAACTAGAGCATGCACCACTCTGGTGAGACAGTCCACTGGCAGATAGGGTCTCAGCCTGCATACCAGATAGAGCTGGTAGACAGCTGCCCTAGAAACAGAATTGACCTGCACCTCCATGGACAACTGTGAGTCCAAAATGACTCCCAGGCTATGCACCTGGTCCTTCAGGGGCACAGTTACCCCATTCAGGACCAAGGAGTCCTCCACACCTGCCCATCCCCAGTCCCACAAAAACAGTATTTCTGTCTTGTCAGGATTCAGCCTCAATCTGTTAGCCGCCATCCATCCTCCAATCGTCTCCAGACACTCACACAGGACCTTCACTGTGTTCACTGGTTCTGATTTGAAAGAGAGGTAGAGCTGGGTATCATCCGCATACTGATGAACACCCAGCCCAACCCCCCTGATGATCTCTCCCAGAAGCTTCATATAGATGTTAAAAAGCATGGGGGAGAGGACAGAACCCTGAGGCACCCCACAAGTGAGATCCCAGGGGTCTGAACACTCATCCTCCACCACCACTTTCTTGACACGGCCCAGGAGGAAGGAGGGGAACCACTATATAACAGTTCCCCCAGCTCCCAGCCCCTCTAGACGGTCCAGAAGGATGTCATGGTCAGTAGTATCAAAGTCCGCTGAGAGATCCAGCAGAACTAGGAAACAGCATTCACCTTTGTCCCTAGCCCACCAGAGATCACCGACCAGCGTGACCAAGGCAGTTTCAGTCCCATGGTGAGGCCTGAATTGGAAGGGATCCAAATGGTCCGCATCCTCCAGGCGAGCCTATAGTTGTTCAGCAACCACCCACTCAATCACCTTGCCCAAGAATGGAAGATTTGAAACTGGGCGATAGTTGGCCATTTTGGCCGGGTCCAAAGATGGGGTTTTTTTAAGATGCAGCCCAGTATCAGGGAGTACCAATCTTCTTGGACAGTTTGCACATTTGGAATGTTGAGAATTGCAGTTTTGAGACTGCTTCCTGGGCATCAGTCACAAAATATAATTTTGTGCCACATTGCAGAAAACCATTATGGGGTGGATGGAGCCTTTTACTTGCACATGGACAGCCTTCCCCAACATCATGCCTTGTAGATATTTAGGACCACAGCTGCCTTCACTCCCAATATTGGGAGTTTTAGTCCAAAACACCTGCAGGATACCAGGTTGGAGAAGGCAATCCTCGTGCGAGGAAGAGACTCCATCCATTCCATAATGGTTTCCCGCAACCCTAAGCCTTTGCCCTAAACCTTGGGCAAGTGCCCAAGGCATAAAAGATCCCAGAGGGTGCACCAAGACATTACTCACATGCAACTGGGTATCAAGGACCATAGAAGGTTTCTGTCAGCCTTGAATTTAACTTTTTTAGCTTTACTGTAACTGAACATTGCCTTTCTGTTAACTCTGGAAAACATTTTAAGGTCATAGAAGTTGGTAGTAATCTGCATATACCATAGTGGAGGCATATACCACAATGGAGGCTACTATGAGGCTTGGGATTGCTACCGTGGAGGGGCGAGGGAGGTATGGTGGTGGGGGCAGATGTTATAGGCGAAGGGGATCGAGATATGGATATGCTCGTACCCCTTCCAATCTGCGCTTCATCCCGAAGGACGAGGGTAGGGTGAGCAAGGATTACTCACCTCCGTCACTGGTGCTGTGAAATGCCAGGTCTATAGGCAACAAAACCGCCACCCTGCGATATTTATTTATCTCGCAGGGGGTCGACCTGGCTTGTGTGACGGAGACCTGGGTGCGCGAAGGGGCAACAGTTACCTTACGAGAGATGGCGCCCCCGGGTTTCTCCGTCCTCCACCAGTCACGGACTGTGGGCCGGGGGAGAGGGGTGGCATTATTAATCCGGGAAGATTGTCCTTTCAGGGCTCTACCATCGCCATCGATCCCTGGCATTGAATGTTTTGGCCTAGTGTGGGGCTTGGCTCTCTGGCTGGTGTACCAGCCACCCTGTCAGGCCTATTGGAGGCGGTGGCCGGCTGGGCCTTGGAGTTCCCTAACCTATTGGTATTGGGGGACTTCAACATCCATGCTGATGCCACTCCCTCCTCACAGGCTCTGGACCTGGTGTCTTCCATGGCAACACTAGGGCTCTCCCAGTTTGTTTCGGGCCCCACACATCAAGCAGGCCACACGCTGGATTTGATCTTTGGCGTAGGTATAGATGTGATCATGTCTCCTTCGATGAAGGTGCCATAGTCTGATCACTACGCTCTGAAAGTCAGGATTGACTTTCCACCCCCACCCTTCTTAGGTGGCGAGCCGATTTGGGCTCGCCCGCAGAGGCTGATGGACCCTGATAGATTCCGCCAAGCCTTGCGGGACCTTGCTCCCCCTGGCAACTCATTGACTGAGCTTGTTGAGGGCTGGAATATCCAGCTCCTGGCAGCCATCGATGAGATCGCACCTAAGCGCCCTCTGCGACCCCGCAGAAACCGGGCTCTCTGGTTTACCGAGGAGCTCCGGAAAATGAAGCGGGACCTCAGACGGCTAGAGCGAGGATGGCGGGGTGCCTGTGACGGAGCCTCAAGAACATCTTATAGGGCTTTTATGAAAACCTACGAGATGGCGGTGAAGGCTGCTAAGAAGTCTTACTTCTCGGCCTCCATTGCATCCGCTAGCTCTCGCCCAGCACAATTATTTAGTATAATCAGGTCTTTAACGTCCCTTGAGGGACAGCCAAATTTAAATTACAATTTGACACACAGCTGTGAGGCATTTGCGAGCTTTTTTGCGGAGAACGTCTTGTTGCTCCGCCATGACCTCCCTGCCAATTTGGATACAATAAAGGAACTGGAGGCCCCTCGACTGTCCTCGGGTCCAGTATTGGACCACTTCAACCGGATATCCCCAGCCGATGTGGACAGACTCCTCCGAGCTGGAAAGCCCACCACCTGTCCTCTCAACCCGTGCTCATCTTGGCTGATTAGAGTGTGTCCAGAGGAGGTGCGGGCCCTCCTGGGGGATATCATCAATTTGTCCCTTGGCACGGGGACATTCCCAGGGGAACTGAAGGAAGCAGTGGTGTGCCTGCTCTTAAAGAAAACATCATTAGATCCTTTAGATCTATCCAATTACCGCCCGGTTTCGAATCTTCCATTCCTGGGTAAGGTGATTGAGAGAGCGGTTGCTGAACAGCTTGGTGGGTTTCTGGATGAAACATCAGCTCTGGATCCATTCCAGTCCGGCTTCCGCGCTGGTCATGGGACCGAGACGGCTCTGGTTGCCCTAACAGATGATCTTCGTAGACAGCTGGATCGAGGTGGGTCGGGGCTGCTGATTCCTCTAGATCTGTCAGCAGCTTTCGACATGGTCGATCACGAACTTCTGGACCACCGCCTTGCCGATGTGGGGATCCAGGGCACAGTCCTTCAATGGCTGTGCTCGTTTCTCTCTGGTCGGGGACAGAGGGTGGCGCTTGGGGGGGAATTGTCATCGCGCCACTCCTTGGTGTGTGGAGTACCTCAGGGTGCGATACTCTCCCCGATGCTTTTCAACATCTTTATGCGCCCCCTCGCCAAGCTTGTCCGGAGTTTTGGGCTGGGTTGCCATCAGTATGCTGGTGACACCCAACTCTATCTGTTGATGGATGGCCATCCTGACTCGGCCCCAGACACACTGACCAGATGTTTGGAAGCTGCGGCTGGATGGTTAGTGAGAGCCGGTTGAAGCTAAATCCTTCGAAGACAGGTCCTGTGGCTGGGACGGGACGATATGGGATGGGGGGGGCAACTCCCATCTCTTGTGGGGGTGCAATTAGTGCCAGCACCGTCCGTTAAGAGTTTGGGTGTAATCTTTGACACCTCCCTTTCCATGGAGGCGCAGATTGCAGCTACAACAAAGGCGGCATTTTTCCATCTCCGCCAAGCTAAGCAGTTGGCTCCTTACCTCTCTCGCCCTGACCTAGCCACTGTGATCCACGCGACGGTCACCTCCAGACTGGATTATTGTAACTCGCTCTACGTGGGGCTGCCCTTGAGACTGACCCAGAAACTCCAGCGGGTGCAGAATGCTGCAGCGAGACTCCTTACGGGGTCTTCGCTGCGAGATCACATTCACCCGGTGCTATACCAGCTGCACTGGCTCCCGGTGGAGTACAGGATCAGGTTTAAGGTGCTGGTTTTAACCTTTAAAGCCCTATACGGCCTAGGACCCTCGTACCTACGGGACCGCCTCTCCTGGTATGCCCCACAGAGAAACTTACGGTCTTCAAATAAAAACATCTTGAAGGTCCCAGGCCACAGAGAAGTTAGGCTGGCCTCAACTAGAGCCAGGGCTTTTTTGGCCGTGGCTCTGATCTGGTGGAACACTCTGTCACAAGAGACTAGGGCCCTGCGGGACTTGACATCTTTCCGCAGGGCCTGCAAGACAGAGCTGTTCCACCAGGCCTTTGGCCAGGGCACAGCCTGACTCCCTCGGCAATCTTCGTGGAGCTCTGGCCCAATGGTTGCCAGTGGCTTGAATTAATTAATTTTATAATGAATGATTTTAGAGTGTTGTTTGTGCTGTACTTTTGTACTGTTTTATTGTTGTTAGCCGCCCTGAGCCCGGCTTCGGCTGGGGAGGGCGGGATATAAATAAAAGTTGTTATTATTATTATTATTATTATTATTATTATTATTATTATTGCATGATTAAGACTTCAACAAGAGGGCCTGCCTTGCCTCCTGGAAACTTCTTGGCCCTTGGATTTCATCAGCATCTAGGGGTGAACCATTCTAATGGCCGGAAAGCAGGCAGAGTGATCTTTCTCGCAGATGAAATGGTAACTGGCTATCTAAACCTCACCAGGATCTGACCATGACAATGAAGCCAAAGAAAACCCCTTCACATTCAAATCGCCATCTCTCAGTGCAGATAAGAATAGCAAGTGAGGATTTGACCCACCATGAGTTTTGGGACGATAACGTTTTGAGAGCCATCCTAGGTATGCCAGCATCAGCATGGATGCTGAGATCTTATAGAACGTCTAACCTGTAGTCTTTGATATCAGATCTAGTTAGATAGGTTTCTACCAAAGTCATCATCTTTTCCCCCTTTTTCAATCCCAGGTCTACAATGTCCATTACATGATGAGTATTAATGGGAAGGCACAAGAGGCGTCAATGGAAATAGATGCTGGGAACAACCTGGAAACCTTTAAAACTGGAAGTGGTGAGGAAGAGGCTATTGAAGTTCATGATTTTCAGATTGTAAGTATGGTTGGCTGAAGGTTTTTTGGGGGGGGGCGTATCCCAAGAAGGAATGGAGGAAGCAGTGGTGAACTTTGGGCTTTCAAATTTCAGCAGTGCCCTGTATGATGCCAAAATTTGACACACACACCTCTCCACCTCTTGCCTTCCATTCTAAGTCATTGTTGCGGCACCCTCTCAGCTTGGCTCCCAGGGCTGGCAAGCCAGTCACGCTCCCCTCAGTATGCATTTGGAGTGAAAGCACCAAGGCAGCAGCGGGCGGGGGAAGAATTTCAGCTGGGGTCCAAGCCTAGTTTTTTTACTGAGACCACCTTGGCTGCCATGTACAGAATTTTAAAAAATCATTTAACAAAAATTATATACCACTTGATTGTGAATAGAACCTCTGAGCAGTTCATCAAAAATGCTGAAGGGGGGGGGATGTAAAAGCATCTCTGATTATTCTCCGTGGCCTCTCAATGGCCTATGATACCACTGACCATGGAATCCTTCTGTGAAGACTGTGAGCAGGGAGAACAGGGCACTGCTGGGCTGGAACAGTGCCTGACCTTGCTAATGGACTGGATGAGAACCAACAAACGGATGCTCAATCCAGCCTAGACTTAAGACATTTCGAGGGGGTGGTTCCTGTGCCCAGATGAGCAAGATTAGTTCTGGATGGGGTTACACTCCCTTGGAAGAAGCAGGTTCACAGCTTGGAGCTACTCCTGGATCCAGTCCTGTCACTGGAGACACAAGTGGCCTTAGTGGCACTGAGGGCCTTCTACCAGCTTGGAAACTACAGCTAGTGGAAAATGTGGCTGCTTGAATGTTAACTGGGACAAGAATGTGTGAACATGTAACACTGGTTCTGGTCTGACTGCAGTAACTGTCAATTTGCCCAATTCAAGCTGCTGGTTTTAACTGTATACAACTCAGTAAGCCTGTAACTAAAGTTCCCCATATGAACTTTCCCAGACCCTGAGGCCCTTCGACATATGTTGAGAGGAAATGCCTTCTCTTAAATAGCCGACTGTTTGTGGAATGCTAGCTCTAGGGAGACTTCCCTTATCAATATTTTGGTTCCTGGGAATTCTTCATTTTCCTGGTCATTTGAGAGTACCAGTGATATAATTGCATTGTTAAATTTTTTAAAATATTATTTTATTACTGTATTTTTTACTTGGTAGTGAATAACATTGGGTCTTTTTTAGTAGGAAGCAAAGCATTTTATGTTAAAAGCACTTCTGTATCTTGCAGCAGTTGGGTGGGCACCTCAACATTTATGTTAATAACCAAGGTCTGTTTTTCTAGGGCATAAGTGGAATTCGTTTTGCTGGAGGAGAAAAATGCTACATTAAAGCCCAAGCTAAATCTCACATCCCTGAAGTCAGTGCAATGACCAAAGAGAGAATCTCTTTGGATCTGGTAGGTAGTCACCAAAAATATGCTTACACTGACAGCAAAGCTATGTTTGAAGGATTGTCAAGTGCAAGGGAAGGAGAGAGGCTTTGTGATGGGAAGTGTGAAGGTGGAGCGGGGCCCTAGAGAACCTCCTGAAAGCAGCAGCAACACCAAGGAGCCCATAAAGCAGCTGGGGAGGTTTCAGCTGCTCTTTAAGGTGCAGCCCAGCCTTGCCACCTCCTCACTTTTTGGCTAAGCTCTGCTGCTGCTGCTGCTGCTCCCCACTTGGGCCACGTCTGGCTTTCTTCAGCAGCAGCATCTTCCAGGAGAGGTGCTCAGTGAAAGTCTGCAGCAGCCAAGGGATCCTTGGGACTGGTGCTTAGAGGTGGCCCATCCCATTTCATCACCTGAGGCAAAACGGAAATCTGCTGCCTCCTGCCCCCCCTCCAGCCACCATCACTTCTGCTGCCGCCAGAACGCCTCCCTCTTGCCAAGTTTCAGAGAGAGGGAGGTCTTCTGGGATGAGGTGTTGCTGCTTGTTTCCCCACCGCTGGAGTGGAGAAGACAAGCGCCAAGGCCTTGCAGAATGCCCACTCCTGGCTGAAACTTGGCAAGATGGTGTCCAGAGGTGACAGAAGTGGTGGGGCAGGTGGGGAGCTATCTCTTGAGCTTCTACTGCCTGAAGCAGCTGCTTCACCCTCACTAATGGGTGAGCCAGCTCTGCCCCCCCCCCACTTATGTAACGGTGCACAGGAGGGGCTTGAGCTGTTCTCTTGGTTCTTCTCGGCTTCTGCCTGAGAGAAGGCAGGACTGGGCAGGCACACAAGGCAGCCTGAACCCCCTCCTCCTCTGTGCCTTGGTTTGTTTGCCTTGGAAGCAGGCTGATCCCTGCCAGCAGCAGGACTGTGTCTGTATGGCATGGCTTGAACACTGAAAGAAGAAACGCATGGCAGTGGGCAGGCTGGCTCTGATCCTATGCAAAAGAAGCTGTTGTGAAGCAAGTCAGTATAAGGGAAGCCCATATAAATTTACACCAGATCCAAAGCCCGCTCTGCAGAATGGGACTGCTGTGTCCTAATCCCCTGGCCTACCTGGCAGACAGTGTGCCAAGATGAAGTTTCAGCTCCAGAAGCCAATCCACACAAGCCAAGTCCAAAGATCAGGAAACAGTATGGAGTCAGTCCAAGTAAGCCAAGTTCAGCAGTCAATCTCGAAGTAGAAACCCAGGAAGGTCCAAGGTGAATCCCAGACGAGATCCCTCAACATGGTCAGTTGAGTGGACACAGCAGCTCCCTCTGCTGCCTTCTGACACTGTGTCTGCTGATTGCAGCATCTGGACTTGATGAGGCAAGTGACCCTCACCTGCTCTCTGCTTACCCCAGCTGAGAAATTGCAGACCTCCTTCCCTACCTGGCCAGCTAGTGAACTAGGCTGCAGGCCTTGGCCTGCCTCTGCTTCCTGGAGTGTCCCGCCCGCTGTTCCCTACATCTTAGGACCTGCCATGTTTGTGGGGATGGGGGCCTCTCTGGCTCTGGGTCCCACTGCTCGGCTTCCTGTGCACTGGCCTCTGTACCCTCATTATCCTCTGTCACCCCATGAGTATTGTCTATCCCAACCTCTCCTTCCCCATCCCCAGCTTGCTCCCGTGTGACCCACTCTGAGCTGAACCCCTTGCCAGGATCCTCTTCCTCCTCCCTGGTCCTGCCAGTTCTGTTGCTGCTTTGCCCAAGCCTGTCAGCAGGATAAGAGTCTTTAAAATAATTCTGTGCCAGGTTACATGACCAAGCTGAACAGGCTTAGGATCCACCTGAGCCCCAGCCCAAGCCCTGGTCCCACCTGCATCGCACCCCCAAAACATCTCTTTTTGGCCTCTGTTCAATTGGCTGGGCCCCCAGCCAAGCAAGTGTTTCTTGGGCTGAGCCAGGGTTGGGGACGTGACCTCAGATGAGCCTAGTTGAGCCAAGAACCAGCTGGCTGAAGATGGCCTCCTTCATTAACAATGTCCTTGGAGGGCCAGTCTGAGGCATCACATTTTAGGAAAACTGCAGGGGGAGGGACTGAGCAAATGAGAGAGCTTTTGGCATGGAAGGCATGTGAGAGAAGTGTTGCAGGGGGAATTGTTTACTGACACTGAGGGAACTGGGTAGTCAGAAGTTTCTTTAGGATGCACGACTTAGGGATGGTTTAAATTTTAGTGAATCATTCCTCAGAATATGAGGTTAGGTTTAATTACCCCAGAGATCCATTTTATGATACTGTGAAAGATTTGGTTTGGACTGGATACAGCTTGCAGTTCCACTGTTAAGCTAATATGATAGCTCTGATTAAAAGTCTTGTTCAGTGAAAGCAATTATATTGACCCAAAGCTTGCAGTGCAAGTTAAAGAAAGCCTTCATTTGGAAGTGCACCCTGTAGGTCTTTTCATTTTCATATTCGAAGAAGTGTTGGAAAATGGCACTGATTGAACTAGAAACTTTAAGGAATCCAAATATTTTTTACATAAGAGAGCTGCTATTCTGTAGCTGCACTGCAGAAACACTAAAATGGAAGCAGAGGATAAAATTCAGATTGCCCTCTGAGATCACTTTAAGTACCACACACTAGATCAATTTTATTTAGCCAAGTATTGATTTTGTAACGGGCTCCTAGGCTCTCTAGCTAGTGATATTTTTTTAAAAATGTTTTTATCCCCTTCTTTTGCCGTTTTAAAATAATAATAATAATAATCTGTGAAAGCTTTTTAGAAATAAAAATAACTGAATAGATGTGGGGTTGGCGTGGACTTCAGAAAACCAAATTACCTCAGACTGGAGATAAACCACTTTCTGGTTTTTGGAAATGCTAGTTTAATTGGCCATTTTATATTCAATATCTACTACAATGAAATGTGCAGTAAAACATTTAGGACATAATATTGTGCTTTTCTTTTGCTGTAAGTGCAAAAATTGTCATAATGCAACACTAAAGTAACAGAGTCAAGGCGTTAGGGTGACTGAATTACCCATCATGTGCATTTGTGCTTTCAAACACCAGCATACCCTCCAACTTTCATCTGAGAAATGTTGGAGGGCATGCTGCCCCTTTGGCCCCTGTGTTTCGGCTGGTGGCCCCAGGAGTTCTCACCCCGCCCCTTCAAGGATCTTGGAGGCCGGTGATTTCTGTGCAGAGGCTCAGCACAGAGGCTGACGAACCACAGTGCCCCCTACCAGTGACCAGAGGAGGTAGTTCATGCCATGGTCAGCCTCAACAAATGGTCAACACCCGTTGTCCAAAGGCAGCAGAGCGTGGCAGTTGTTCATGTGGGTGATCGTCTAGTGGCGACGCCAAGCCTGTTGCACTGTAATCAATAAAATTGTGGCCTACTATAATCCAGCACCAGGTTGTGTTTGCTCCCATTAAGGTTTTCCCTTAACTGTGGGACCCAGAACACCCACCAGAGTGGCTAGCAAAAGTGCCTCTTTCCCTGCACCTGGTTGTCTTTAATTTTATCCTGAGTTCTTCTTTGAAAATAGAGAGTTTCTTGGGACAGCTTGAGTCACAGGGACAGCTGAAGGAGGCAACTGCCTTAGGCAGCAGGTGCTGAGGGCTGGGGACAGAGCTACGACTGCCATGCCGCCAGCTTTGCATCTGCTGTGCTAGCCTGCTGCCTTCAATGTACCGTATTTTTTGCTCCATAAGACACACTTTTTCTTCCCAAAAAGTAAGGGGAAATGTCTGTGCGTCTTATGGAGCGAATGCGTGGTCCCTTGGAGCTGAATTGCCCAGGGGCAAAATGCAGATCATGCTTTTTTTTTTTTTTAAAGAGGGAAGTGGGTGTTGAAACAAAGCAGCTGTTTGTTGGGGGGGGTTACCATGTGGCGTGGTCTGAGTCCGGTCCTGGGTCGAGGGTAGGGAGGCTGTCTGTCAAGGGCGAAGCAGGGTCCAAGGCAAGGAGCCGGGCGTGGTCAGGAACTCCGGAAGAGCAGGTCAGGGTGCTGGCAGGAACAGGTTTCCAGCGATGTTGCTCCCGCAACCTGGGACTGGGCTGACTGGCCTTTATCTCCTCTGGGGCCTAGGGCGGTCCCGGCCCACAGGTGATTCGCCTCTCCTGGCCTTAAGGAGAGCACTCCTCCTGAGAGAACTTAGTTCCCTCCGCCTCTCTGCCCTGAGCCTCTGCAGCCCAGGAGAGGCTGGAGGGTTACTGGACCCAGAGGCAACCTCACCTTCCCCTGACAGGGCTGGGAGAGGAGCACCTGCAGGCAATGGGTCCTCCATCACCTCCAGAGCCAGAGTGGATTCATCTGGTGTCTGCTCCTGAGGATCCAGCACAGGTGCGGGCCCTTCAGAGTCAAGCCCCTGCCCTGGCTCAGCCGGCCCTGGAGGCGGGGACTCCTGTGCAGGCTAGGATTCTTCAGGTTCAGCCTCTCAATCAGATTCCCAGGCCATCACAGCAGCTGATTGTTTGCCAATCAGGAGCGAGATAAGGGATGCTAGAGATAAAGGAGGCTGCCTGGGAGGGGGGAGGAAAAGACAGCAAACTTGCAAGGAGAGGAGACAGGAAGACTAAAGCAATGAGGAGAAAAATTAGAAGAAGAGGAGGAGCAAAAAAAACCTGCTCCAGCTAAGGAAAAGACAGTAAGGCAAACAAGAGGGAAGGGAGTTTTGAAAGGAAGCAGCTGATCGGTAAGGGATCGGGAGGGAGATAAAGGAGGCTGCCTGGGAGGGGGGAGGTAAAAGCCCATGGATCCTCAGGATTTTTGCATTGGGTCACCCCAAATTCACCATCAGATCACATAGCATGTCCATGGCTACAGCCTGCACCAAAAAAACCATGCATCCACTGTTTCATGGGGCTGCAATGGTGCAAAAATGTGGTTACAAAGCATGGATCCACATGGATCCTCAGGATTTTTGCATTGGGTCACCCCAAATTCACCATCAGATCACATAGCATGTCCATGGCTACAGTCTGCACCAAAAAAATCACGCATCCACTGTTTCATGGGGCCACAATGGCGCAAAAATGTGGTTACAAAGCACAGATCCACATGAATTCTCAGGATTTTTGCATTGGCATGAACCACAAAAATCACACATCCACTGTTCCGTTCAGAATGTTTTGTTTTTTGTTTTCCTCCTCTAAAAACTAGGTGCATCTTATGGTCAGGTGCGTCTTATGGTCAGGTGTGTCTTATGGGGTGAAAAATATGGTATTTTCCTTTCAGCAGTATTGGGGTAAGATCCACCTACTAGTCCAATTGGCTTCTGTCTGGTCCTTAGAGGCAGGTGCCAACAAAATGACTTGAGGCAGCCCTGCTGAGCCACCCCATCTAAGCGTCATGCCACAGAATTGAAGTCAAGCCAGCAGGATCTCTCAGCACCTGAAATCTTATTCTGATAAGGTGATCTTGCCCTTGCTGAAAGAGAGGCAAGCTTGGACCTCTTAGGAAATGCAAAAAAGTACCTGTCAAGGCTGCCTCAAGTCTTAGCTCACAAAAGACCAACGCCTCTGTCTTCTTATATACAAAAGTGTTTATTGCAGTTCATGGTTTACTTGACCTCCTAGGTGCGCAGCCTTACGTCTTTTACGCTAGACCGCCGAAGTCCCCTCTGAGTCAGTTTCTCCCCTGCACCAATTTAAGAGACTTGCGCTGCTCCACCTCTTTCTCTCCTTCCTTTTCCGCAGGGTCCTTCTGCCCACTGGGGTTTCGCCCCTCCTGGATTCCTCTGATGCGGAATCCCCAGACTGCTCTTCCCCCCTCCTGCGGGCTTTGGGACCTGGCCCCTCCTCCGGGCTCCCTGCACTTCCGCGCGCCTCTACATTTGAACTAGGCGCGCGCGCCAAACCTCTAACTTTCCTTTTGACAGTTACACTACTCCCTTCACTGCTCCCCTCCCTTCCGGGAGGGCGGCTTGCTCTGACCCCCTCCTTTCTCTGCGGCTGGAGCTGCTTCCTCTGACACACTGGAAACTCCACCCCCTTCGCTGCACTCTGGTGGGGAGGCTGGTCCTGGCGCCCAGCTGCCACTTTGGGATCTTCCGCTAGCACCCTGCTCCTGACACTTCCCCCTGGGGCTCCTGCCCTTGACCACCGGCGCCCCCTTCTGGGAATCCTCTGATTCGCTGGAAAGACTCATGGAATCTCTTGAGTCATTGTCATCCTCTTCCTCGCTGGCTTGGAATTCCTCCCCCTCGCTCTCCATCTCCTGCCTACCCTGTGCCTCTCTCCCTGAACCCCTGACAGTACCTAATCCACAAGGTGGGTTACGCTTGCCGGCCAGCTCCCATTCATCCACATGAGATGATTAATAGCCAGATGAAATGATTTGCTGGCACTGGGCATGGGGCTGGGGGAATCATCTCAGCCTAACGCTTCTGTCTGCCATATGCCTGGATCCATGCTGGCTTGCAGTGCAGGGGCTGCCACTGATTTACAAAGCAAAGCCTAATCTCCATCACAGTTCTGAACTGAGCTCCTTGTGAACACTGAGTCCTGAGGTTTTTGTCTTCTAGAAACAGTGTACATAATTCTAGACATAAAAACAAAATCCGTAATTCAAGTTGTTCCAAGGAGTGAGAGAAGCACATAACTAACAACCATGTAGTGTGTGCAAGATTCTTGGTCGGAGATGTGTGCAAATTGATTTTTCAACCTGCAGGATACTATGGAGGTGATAGCATCATGATGGCACCCAAAATCTTGCATGACTTCATCATTACTGCAGTCAGAACACACAATGTTGTCATAGCTTTTAAGCACTTGAGGGCACCATGGATCCCTAAACAGTTAATAATCCTGCCAATAAAACACCCTTTAAAAATGTTTTAAAGTGTCTTTTTTAAAAAGCGAAGCCAATTTCACTCTTTCCCTTAAACCTAATAAGACCGGCTCCTGGTAACAGCTAATCTCAAATGGAACCGAAATTGGAAAGAATGAAAGTAACCCAAAATGTTCTTTTTTTGCTAAATCCTTGACTATTAGCACCCAATTTCACATGCAACACATACCATACCCTTTGTCAGTCAAATTAACAGCGGGTTTGTTTATTTTCTTACTCTCCTTTTACAGGAAGGTGAAATTATGCCAGCTAAATTTGCTGAAAATTCGCTAATCTGGGTCGCTGCAGGTCAACCCATAAAGAACAATAATTTTCTGAGTCCCAAAATTTTAGAGCTCTGTGGAGATCTACAGATATTCTGGCTTCGGCCATCCTATCCAAAAGGTAACATTTATTTAACCTTTAAATCCTAGACTTAAGCCATCTTTGCCCATCCAAATTAATTTCATTCTGGGGGAGGCCTAGGGAGATCCTAGAGCCAGACTCATTACAAGGCAGTCTACTGGCTTATACTGAATCACAGCCCTCGGCTATCCAGCCCAGTGTCACCTATTCTGAGAGGCACAGGTCTCGTGACATAGGCCCTATGAGGAAAGGTTACAACATTTGGGGCTTTTTAGTGTAGAAAAATGACAAACTATTTTTCTGCTGTCATTGGGATTTGGAGCCCCTCAAGCCTCCCCAGTGGTGCAGAGGCGCTTGATCTGTTGTTTAGAGATGCAGCTGTTATGTGTGATGCACCCCGTGTAAAGAACTCATACATTGCAGGACAATAGAAGTAACTGAATTTCAACTCTTTTAGCTTAGTGGGTTCTTTCAACCAGCACTTAGCTGAACCTATTTAAATGAGTCATGTACCCCAATGTCTGTCTGCAGTCGGGCAGAGAAGAAAGAGAGGAGCTATGCGGAAAGCACGCCAAGCTCAGACAAACTTGGATCTGGATCAGTTCAATGCTGCTGCTGAAGAGGTGAATACGAGGCCACGAACCACCCAGCGGGCTCAGCAGCGTAGACAGCAGTCTAACGCTACCTGGACTTCTGAGCAAGACACCCAGCCAGCCTTTAACCCAGACAATCCTTACCATGTGAGTATTTGTTAGCAATGGAACACATCCACAGTCTTGGTCAATGTGCATCTCCCCAGGCGCTTCTACAGAACGCCCCTGAAACTGCCTCATTCTTCCATCTTCTGGTACTGACCAAACAGGTGAGCCAGGAGAGAGCAGTCAGCCAGTCACTGACTTAGGTGAGCTGAGGTTTCTACTCTGTGCAGTTTCAGATGAAAACTACATTGCTGAGCCTTCTGCATCTAAGGAGGGAGCATCTATTTACAATAGGCAAAAAAATGAAACACACCATAGTTTGTTCCTGGAAGGACATGGACTGCATCTGGGTGCTTGTAAGCAGCAAGAGAAAAGGGAAGCCTGGGTCGCCTGTTATTTTCTCCCACGTTAGACGGCACAAGAGCAAGGATCAGGGCCAAACTCAGTAGTTCTGCCCAAGGCGCTCCATGTTTTCCCCTCAATGGCTGGGCATAGCATGTGAAAGGGGGCCCTCACTCCTATACCTGTCCCCACACAAAGGCATCTCTGGAATCTGAAACACTAATCAAGAGGCAGGAATATGAAAAACCAACATCTGATAGATGACCAGGATGGATGAGGGGACCACGGTAGAACTAGGTCATTCTCGGAGTCTTGGAGCAGAGAACTGAGGTGAAACGCTTCCAGGGATTTCAGTATTGGACATGCCTTTCCTTCAGTCTTTCACATGCAGCAGCCAACTGTGCCAGTTATTGCAATCATCCTGTACTGTCCTCAAAAGTTAATCTCAGTGGTTTGAGTTTAAGGGAGGATACAAGATAAAAATTAGTGCATTATATTAATTAGTAATAAATTGCATTTTCTGTCAGATAACGGAAGATACTGACAAAAATTACAGATGGCAAGTGAAAAGCCAGCCTACTTGTGGTAACATGATATGCATTTTCTTCATAGTTCTTTCACTATTTCTTTTAAAAAATAAGTTTAATCAAGTCAGCAAAGAACAAAGATGAACACCTGCCAGGAAAAGAAAACAAATACCAGCCAACAGCATAACCCAGGCATGGCCAAACTGGCCCTCCAGCTGTTTTGGGACTACAACTCCCATCATCCCTAGCTAACAGGACCAGTCAGGGATGATGGGAACTGTAGTCCCAAAACAGCTGGAGGGCCAAGTTTGGCCATGCCTGGCATAACCCCTGGTCACATTCAATGCAGCTGCTGGGGCTGCGGGAGGCAGAAGGCCATCAATATCCAAGAGATCAAATTTCCTATCAGAGGCATGCGCTCGCTGTTCCCAGGGCACTCTACATTTTGCACACGATTCATGCCTTGCACTGGTAAATGAGCAAAGTGAATAACAATGTCCTTAGGAAAGGCATTGCCAGGCAGGTGCCTTCTCAAGGTCCTGGAGGCCCCCTCCCTGTCAGAAACAGAGAGCAGGTCTGGACAGCAGCTATTAATCCATGCCAGGAAGAAACAGATCCCACCATCCTCTGCAAGACCATCTTCCACACCTTGAACCCATGAGTTCTGGTGATTATAATTCTTTATCATCCTCACCAACCACTCCTTTTTCTTCTGATGGCTTAACCAGACTTTTCTCCATATCACTGCTACCCTCCTAATCCAAGGACTCTGGAGAGCTGAGATCAACTTCAGAAGGGTAAATGTTGTCCTGGTTTTCCCTCTGTGCTTCTCCTGCTCATCCATTTTCTCTCAGTTCCACTATAATTACCTCTCTGTAAGCAGTAGTCAGTAGCTGAAAGCATTTGCTGTGTTAAATTGAAGAAACTCAGTCAATGGGAAACTGCACTGACCTGCTACACTAAACTTGTATGGAGTTGCTAATTTAAAGGAAGCTCGATTATTGGGGGGTGGGTTGCATAATGTTTTAGCCACCATCAAAGAGATCTTCTACGCCAGTGATGGCCAAACTTGGCCCTCCAGTTGTTTTGGGACTGCAATTCCCATCATCCCTGACCACTGGTCCTGTTAGCTAGGGGTGATGGGAGTTGTAGTCCCAAAACAGCTGGAGGGCCAAGTTTGGCCATCACTGTTCTATGCCCATGCTGCTTGCCCAAGGCCCGTTCCCCCAAGCACCACTCACATTTCACTATTAAGAAGTCACACTGACTTTCCCAGCACCTGCTGCTGTAATAGGACTTCTTTCCCATTTGCATTCCCCACTTAAAAGTGTACAACCAAATAAGGCTGAGTGCCTGAAAACAAGTATTAAACTTCTAAAGATCAGTCTAGAATCTAGAGGTCAGCTACAACCTCTTTGAAATCCAATTTAAGAGCAACTGAATCTGTGAATTAATGGCCATGGTGAATTCTTGCTATTTTTATGATACTTAATGAAATGTACCACTAAAAAACTGTGCTTGTTATATTTCAAATTTCAGCAGCTGGAGGGGGGTGAAGGGATGACATTTGACCCACGGCTAGACCATGAAGGAGTCTGCTGCATTGAGTGCAGACGGAGCTACACACATTGCCAGCGGATCTGTGAACCTCTCCTGGGATACTACCCGTGGCCTTATAACTACCAAGGCTGCCGTTCCGCTTGCCGGCTGGTCATGCCCTGCAGCTGGTGGGTTGCTCGCATCTTGGGTGTGGTGTGAAGGAAGAGGGAAGTGCAGGAGGCTGTCCTGGGCAACCAAACAGAAGCAAGAATATCTCTGCAAGTGAATCTGTTTGTATGTATGTTAAATTATCCCAGAAAATGACATTGGCTGATGTAGATGTAAGTAAAGTTAAAACCTCACGTTAATATTTTATTAGTTTTACAAATAAAGTATTGAAAACCTAAATGCCTTCTTGAAAATAATCACCTCCAAGACCTGCTGAAAGTGAAAATTTAAAAAGGAATCTTATACATTCTGAGCCAGATCAACTCCTTCCCCTTTAAAAATTCATCCTCTCCTACCCAAGCCATCTGTTATTAAATAGATGTGAACATTTGTCCAATTAGATTACTAGACCTAATGCTTTGGGGAGTAGCTTTCAACTACAGTGGTACCTCGGGTTACAGACGCTTCAGGTTACAGACTCCGCTAACCCAGAAATAGTACCTCGGGTTAAGAACGTTGCTTCAGGATGAGAACAGAAATTGTGCTCCAGTGGCGCGGCAGCAGCAGGAGGCCCCATTAGCTAAAGTGGTGCTTCAGGTTCAGAACAGTTTCAGGTTAAGAACGGACCTCCAGAATGAATTAAGTTCTTAACCTGAGGTACCACTGTATGTAACACTTGACAAATAAATAATAAGGGAAGCTGTTATTTGTTGTTATTCATATAGAACCAGGGGATCATTAAGAAGCTGTTAGAAACCAATTATATCACCCTTTTCTCACTGAGCAGCTGGAGGGGGGTGAGGGCAGTGGCAGAATCCAAATACAGGGCTGTTGCATGGAAGGGCTCAACAAAGCCCATCAATTTTATTATTATTTTAATTTATTGAATTTATATACCGCCCTATACCTGGAGGTCTCAGGGCGGTTCACAGAATAAAATCAAAGTCCCTTCAGGAGACCTGTGAATCAAAGTAGCCCAGGCAGAGGCTGTGTTGTTTCCAGCAAGTGACGACTTTGAAAGTTTATTTAGTGGAAAATAGGAATTCACGTAATAGTTAATAGCCTCCAGATGCAGAACATATACTTCTACTGTGTGGAGATACTACACAGAGACGTTTGAAAACTTCCAGCGTCTGCTGTCAGTGAGCTGCTCCATTCCTGATATTAGGCAACAATGAGAAATGGGGCAAGGGAGAGAGAGGCCCTACAAAATACAGTAAGAAAGAATTGTGATCCAATTGCTATGGAACTGTAGAGTTGGAAGAGACCAAGGGTCACCTAGTCCAACTCTCTGCAATGCAGAAATCATGTGCCTAACGGGGTGCTCAAACCAAAAACCAGTGTCTCATGCTCTGCTGACTGAGCTAAGATTCAAAAGATTAAAACTGTATAAAACTATTGGCTTTGATTCCATTTCAGAAGCCTTCCCCTCCATACTCATCCCACCCAAAAATATTTCATCAATGTGTTGGAAAGAAGTGTTATATGGCACAAATGTGGGGGGAAAGAAGTCATTCAATTAAATTATTGTATATTTTCTAGAAGAGGCTCAAACTTTGGTAAAGTGTTGCTACTGGATATATATACAATAGAACCCCAATTCTTTGGAAAGGGTTTTCCACAATTTTTCACAATTGTGGGGCAACTGCTAAGATTGCCAAGATTGCCTGATTTCATGTTTGAGTGTGCAGGAAGTACAGCCAGGAAAATAATTTTTGTTCATCATTATAGAAAAGAGAAAGTAGATGCTGAGTTGCACAAGGACAAAGCTGTCAAGAGCTTTATGGCCAATTATGTTGCATTGTCGTCCAGAAGTAACTGGAAGGCAGTGCAAACGTTTTAGGTGACTTGGCTCTCAGTGACCCACCTCTACAAGTCAGTCAACAGTCAATCAAGGGCAGCCCTATATGGAAGTATGAAAGAATTGTGCTATATTCAGTATGCTTAAATAAACAAATTAAGTCCCGTCTGCTGCTATAAAACTGGTACATGCCCATAAGGTTGACTGCTAAGTCTGGAAGTATTTATTTAAGATATTTATAGCCACCCACCTATCCTTAATGAGCCCACGGCGACTAACAACATACATTAAAACATTAATTTGATAACTTTAAAAGCAATTTGACACCAGCAATAAATACAATACACACAGGTCCCACGATACAAAACAAACTATACAAAACTAACCTGTTTCTGAAAAATGGTTCATAAGGTGAGCATACATATAGCAATCTGAACATTTTCATTATTTCTTACGGGGGAAATTCCAATGCATTCCCAACCCAGAACAGGTTCATCCCAAATGATTAAACAAAAAACCCTGAAAAACCTTATTATAATGCTGCTCTGCAATGTATTAATTTTTTTTTAAGCATTCCCAATTGGAAAAAGTCCTCTGCATTACCTTGAAATAATAAAAGAATAAAATCACAAAAACCATTACCACCACAAACAATTCAAACAAGCAATGAAAAACAAGTTTAACAAGGTTTTGTGGCACAAAGAGTTGATGAGGGGAGAGAGGAAGTTGATTTTGTGGTGAAGCCTATGGCATTCAAGGGCTCAACAGCAGACGTTGTATCAAAGCAACCTGCAGGTTTCATTTCCATTACTTCAACCTTCTTCTCAATGACTGCAGTCCTTTTCTCAATGGCAACTGGCTTTCCAGGAGGAACATAACCAGATGTGGAAGGGTTCTGGCTTGTAAGTGCTCTGTTGGTTTTATCAGGGACAGGAGGGGTGGAATCATTCATCTTGGACGGCTTTCTTCCATATTTTTCAGAGAAACTTATGGGTCTCAATAATAATAATAATAATAATAATAACAACTTTTATTTATATCCTGCCCTTCCCAGCCGAAGCCGGGCTCAGGGCGGCTAACAACAATAAAACAGTACAAAAGTACAGCACAAACAACACTCTAAAATCATTCATTATAAAATTAATTAATTCAAGCCACTGGCAACCATTGGGCCAGAGCTCCGCGAAGATTGCCGAGGGAGTCAGGCTGTGCCCTGGCCAAAGGCCTGGTGGAACAGCTCTGTCTTGCAGGCCCTCCGGAAAGATGTCAAGTCCCGCAGGGCCCTAGTCTCTTGTGACAGAGTGTTCCACCAGATCAGAGCCACGGCCAAAAAAGCCCTGGCTCTAGTTGAGGCCAGCCTAACTTCTCTGTGGCCTGGGACCTTCAAGATGTTTTTATTTGAAGACCGTAAGTTTCTCTGTGGGGCATACCAGGAGAGGCGGTCCCGTAGGTACGAGGGTCCTAGGCCGTACAGGGCTTTAAAGGTTAAAACCAGCACCTTAAACCTGATCCTGTACTCCACCGGGAGCCAGTGCAGCTGGTATAGCACCGGGTGAATGTGATCTCGCAGCGAAGACCCCGTAAGGAGTCTCGCTGCAGCATTCTGCACCCGCTGGAGTTTCTGGGTCAGTCTCAAGGGCAGCCCCACGTAGAGCGAGTTACAATAATCCAGTCTGGAGGTGACCGTCGCGTGGATCACAGTGGCTAGGTCAGGGCGAGAGAGGTAAGGAGCCAACTGCTTAGCTTGGCGGAGATGGAAAAATGCCGCCTTTGTTGTAGCTGCAATCTGCGCCTCCATGGAAAGGGAGGTGTCAAAGATTACACCCAAACTCTTAACGGACGGTGCTGGCACTAACTGCGCCCCCACAAGAGATGGGAGTTGCCCCCCCCCAATCCCATATCGTCCCGTCCCAGCCACAGGACCTGTCTTCGAAGGATTTAGCTTCAACCGGCTCCCACGTAACCATCCAGCCACAGCTTCCAAACATCTGGTCAGTGTGTCTGGGGCCGAGTCAGGATGGCCATCCATCAACAGATAGAGTTGGGTGTCATCAGCATACTGATGGCAACCCAGCCCAAAACTCCGGACAAGCTTGGCGAGGGGGCGCGTAAAGATGTTGAAAAGCATCGGGGAGAGTATCGCACCCTGAGGTACTCCACACACCAAGGAGTGGCGCGATGACAATTCCCCCCCAAGCGCCACCCTCTGTCCCCAACCAGAGAGAAACGAGCACAGCCATTGAAGGACTGTGCCCTGGATCCCCACGTCGGCAAGGCAGTGGTCCAGAAGTTCGTGATCGACCATGTCGAAAGCTGCTGACAGATCTAGAAGAATCAGCAGCCCCGACCCGCCTCGATCCAGCTGTCTACGAAGATCATCTGTTAGGGCAACCAGAGCCGTCTCGGTCCCATGACCAGCGCGGAAGCCGGACTGGAATGGATCCAGAGCCGATGTTTCATCCAGAAACCCACCAAGCTGTTCAGCAACCGCTCTCTCAATCACCTTACCCAGGAATGGAAGATTCGAAACCGGGCGGTAATTGGATAGATCTAAAGGATCTAATGATGTTTTCTTTAAGAGCGGGCGCACCACTGCCTCCTTCAGTTCCCCTGGGAATGTCCCCGTGCCAAGGGACAAATTGATGATATCCCCCAGGAGGGCCCGCACCTCCTCTGGACACGCTCTAATCAGCCAAGACGGGCACGGGTCGAGAGGACAGGTGGTGGGCTTTCCAGCTCGGAGGAGTCTGTCCACATCGGCTGGGGATATCCGGTTGAAGTGGTCCAATACTGCACCCGAGGACAGTCGAGGGGCCTCCAGTTTCTTTATTGTATCCAAATTGGCAAGGAGGTCATGGCGGAGCAACAAGACGTTCTCCGCAAAAAAGCTCGCAAATGCCTCACAGCTGTGTGTCAAATTGTAATTTAAATTTGGCTGTCCCTCAAGGGACGTTAAAGACCTGATTATACTAAATAATTGTGCCGGGCGAGAGCTAGCGGATGCAATGGAGGCCGAGAAGTAAGACTTCTTAGCAGCCTTCACCGCCATCTCGTAGGTTTTCATAAAAGCCCTATAAGATGTTCTTGAGGCTCCGTCACGGGCACCCTGCCAAACTCGCTCTAGCCGTCTGAGGTCCCGCTTCATTTTCCGGAGCTCCTCGGTAAACCAGGGAGCCCGGTTTCTGCGGGGTCGCAGAGGGCGCTTAGGTGCGATCTCATCGATGGCTGCCAGGAGCTGGATATTCCAGCCCTCAACAAGCTCAGTCAATGAGTTGCCAGGGGGAGCAAGGTCCCGCAAGGCTTGGCGGAATCTATCAGGGTCCATCAGCCTCTGCGGGTGAGCCCAAATCGGCTCGCCACCTAAGCAGGGTGGGGGTGGAAAGTCAATCCTGGCTTTCAGAGCGTAGTGATCAGACTATGGCACCTTCATCGAAGG